CAATTTTATTTATTTAAAAAATTCCATACCTAAAAGTTGAAATGATAAACAATTATATATTCTTCACTCATTAACCAAGTAATATTTTTGCAGTATTTGTGTATTCAAATTATTACACACCACATAACTGTTATCACAACCAGTAAATTTAACATTGATTTATTATCTAATATTTACTCCATATGCAAATCTCCCCAACTATACCAAAAAATATTTAATTAGGGTAACTATAATTTATCTTTTAAACCAGTAATGGTATATGACATATATGATAAAATGACACATTAGTTCATAGCTCTGTGGATTTCTACAAATGGGTAGGCCCATGTAACCACCTTCCAAAACAAGGTAGACTCAGTTAATAATTATGCTAGGAAAATTAATTATACTCAGAACTGATTGCTTCCTCATGATGATATTCAGGTTCAATCTCTTTACAAGAATATGTGATGTATACTTTCTATTGCATCACATAAAACACATTTCAGTTTGTCATCATTTTCGGTAATGTTGATTTTGAATATTTGGCTAAAGTGGGTATGTTGTTGTTGTTATGTGCCGTCGAGTCGGCCCCGACTCATAGCGACCCCTCCTTGGGTTTCTGAGGCTGTATCACTACGGATTGCCCAACCTTCCTTCCGAGGAGTGGCTGGTGGGTTTGAACCGCCAGCCTTCTGGTTAGCAGTCAAATGCTTTAGCCACTATGCTACCAGAGCTCCTAAAGTGGGTATAGCCAGACATAAATTATTCTGTATCGTGTAAGTCTCATCTTGTCAAAATGTAGAAATTTACTTGGGGCACTTTCAGGTGCATTTATTCCAATTTAGTGACTTAAAGGTTTAAATTTCCTTGTCTCTCCTCTTATCCTTGTTGATGTAGCCATTTCCGTTTTTGATTTCTGTCACCAAGTTCCCAGACTTTCTTCAAGCTTATCAATTTGCCTCAGCCAGGCAATCTCTTGGCAGGTCCTGACTCCAGCTCAGTTATTTCAGCACCCCATAACCCCAGGAGCCTTCCACTTCACTTGGAAAGCAAAATTTGGAATTCTGTCTAGACTTCTCACAACCATTGCATCTCACACCTTTTGTACATGTAAGAACACACACATGGCTATCAGTTTTCAGATGGAAATTTGGAGTACAAGTGTGTTCTCTCGGCTCTGTCCAATCAAGGAAACCATATCATGTGGTCCCTTTGCCATGGAACTAATTTGGGGCACAAAGTATATGCCTCCTATAATTTGTTTCTCTTCCTTTTAAGAGTATTCTGGGAACATGGAAAAGAGATAGTGAGTTGGAGAGAATAGGACATTCAAAAATTTTATAAGCATTTGGGGGGATGGGGAAAGAGATTAGGAAGAGCTGAAATGTAGATATTACTTTGAGGTTTCATCTTATGAGGGGTAGCAAAGAGTCAATAGGCCCTCATAGTGATGGAATTACCATTTTTTCCTATATACAGAGAAATTTTTATTTAAGTGTGTTGGAAACAAGTTGTCTTCTATAAGTAGAATAGAAAAATGAAGTTCCTAAAAGGTGAAGTAAGTGAAATAGAAATTTGACAAGCCTTATGAATATATATAAAAAGTATAAACAAGGGAATAATAAAATTTTAAATTAGTAATATAAAGTAAGATAGAAGGAAAATATGTATATTATTTATTACACTAAATGGGAATAGACTGAGTTTTATTAGAAGATGACTAGTCATATTGTTACATAAAAGTATATGTTTTTTATAAGAAACACATATGAAACAAAATGATAAATAGGATTAAATACAAACAACAATTTGGTGTTCTTTATATTTATGTGGAATTTTACATCAAAGAGGGGAAATTCAATAACTTAAGTCAACTGGGTTACTCTCCAAAAATAAAGTTGAATCCACATCACATGTACTGAACAAAAATAAGTTCCAGATGGATCCAAGATGTAGAAGAAAAAATTAAAGTCATAAAAATAGAGGTAATTATAGGAAAATTTAAAAAAATAATCTGGGATTAAGAAAGGCTTTTCTAACAATGTTATAAAACCCAGGAACCATGAATGAAGAGAAAATGGCAGATAACATGCACTCTGGAGCTAGACTTTGCAGGTCCAAATTCAGGCTCTTCTCAATTTTGTTTACAAAATGGAGTAACACTAATATTGGGCCCACCAATTAGTTGAAAGGAATAAGTCTGTTAAGTCTTTATATACATTTCTTAGAACAGTACCTGGCATTTTCCAAGCATTAACTATTATTATTGTTTGTATTAAAAAAAAAAAAAAAAAAATTGCTAATCTTACCACAAATGACAAAGGAACAATCTAATATAAAACCAAAGTCACTGCCATGGAGTTGGATCTGACACATAGTGACCCCCCT